TCGCTTTCTTGAGATGATTCCCAAGACCCCGGTGTAATCCTCACAGTCGCTCGCTCAAGATGATTTTTGAGATCCCCAGCGAAGTCTTCAGTTCAAGACGATTCCTCAGCAGAGCCGTTTGCTTAAGATGATTCTTAAGACCTCAGTACAGCTTCCCGAGTTGTTCGCCTAGTATGATGCTCGAGTTCCCCAGTAGCGTCCTCAGCAAAAGTTGCCCAGGAAGATTCCTGGAATACCCCGCAGAATAAAGTCTCCAGAAAGGTTATCAATTCAGGATGATTCTTGAAGGTGCCCGACGGATTTGTTTGTTCAAGATGATTCTTGAAATCCCTAGCAGCGTGATATGTCTGCTCCAACAGTGTTGTCTAATCTGAGGATGGACTTCGTAAACGCCTGAGGGCGGCATCAGAAGGTTCCTGTGAGTTCAGACTTCCTTGTTGATGAATCAACGTGTGGCTGAAGACAAGATTCCAAGCTCAGGTTTCGTACCTTTGGATGTGTTTGATTCCAAGCTCAGGTTTCGTACCTTTGGATGTGTTTGATTCCAAGCTCAGGTTTCGTACCTTTGGATATGTTTGACTCCAAGCTCAGGTTTCGTACCTTTGGATATGTTTGATTCCAAGCTCAGGTTTCGTACCTTTGGACATGTTTGACTCCAAGCTCAGGTTTCGTACCTTTGGATATGTTTGCCTCCAATATTAGTGTACCGTTGGAAGTGTTTGTTTCCATCCCAAGCTCAGGTTTTGTACCTTTGAGATGTATACTTCGGATTCCCTGACCGATGTTGGTTCGGCGGCGAGGTTGGATGTTTGTTTGACGGCGAGGTCAGACCCTTTAAATCCCCATCAGAGATGATGTTTGTTTCCGACGGCGTTGTCAGATTCAGTTTTCCAGCGGCGATGTTGGGCATGTCAAGTTGATCCAGTCTTCTGACGGCGATGTTAGGTGATGCAGATCCTTTAGTTCTCCAGCGGCGATGCGGGGTATTTTGTCAAATTTAGTTCTCCAGCGGCGATGCGGGGTATTTTGATTGTTCGACGGCGATATCAAGTTTAGTCTTCCAGCGGCGATGTTGGGTGTTGTGGTTGTCTGAAGGCAATATCAGAAGAATTTAATGTGGATAACTGACGGCGATGTCCGATCAATATTTCTCCAGATAGTTGCCGTGCAGCTATTATTCCAGTGTTCGACAAGTTGGGCAGTTGGCAAATTTTCGGGTTTACCGGTATTCAACCGTCTCGCACCCTGAGTGACTGAGAGCCGTTCGCTCCTCACCCAGTCAGGTCCAAGCCGCTTGAATAGGGGCAGTTGTTGCACCCCAAAATTTGACCAACCGGGTCTCGTATCTGGCTCGATGTTTCGACGCATAATCGCATTCGCATCTGCATATTGCATACAGTGCATTTTTTCATTTGTTTTGATTTTATTGGGATCACAGCTCTCGTCTCGCGTGTCAGGTGTTTTTTATCAGTTTAGATAGATAGAATCGATTTTTGGGATATTTCGGTGCCCGTTTATTTTTTACCGGCTATTTTGGTGCGTTCTCGCGGTGTTAGGTGTCGTTCGGTGCTATTTTTGTTCCTCTGAGAATTACTGTGATTTTTTCTGGACTTTATTGACCATTTTTTTAGATTTTTAATAGATTTTTAATCATTTTAGGATTTAATAGATTTTTTAGGAATTTTTAGAATATTAGTAGGATTTTTTTTAATAGTTTTAATTCTTTTTAAATAGATTTTTAATCATTTTAGGATAATATAGAATTTTATAGATTTTTAATAGCTTTTAAATCATTTTTAGGATTTAATAGGTTTTTTAATAGTTTTAAATAGTTTTAATAGTTTTAATCTTTTTAATATAGATTTTTTCTTATTAAATAAATAGTTTTTGTTAATAGAAATTAAATGTTTTTAATTTTAGATATAGAATAATAATAGTTTTTTTTCTTTTATTAGTAAATAGAGTTAAATAGATTTTATAGGTTTTTGTTATTAATAATAGATTTTAATCATTTTTAGATAATATAGAGTAATATAGATTTTTCATTTAAATAAGATTTTTTTTTTAGTAGATATTAATAGAGTTGTTCTCATTTTTAGAATTTAATTGATTTTTAGATTAATTAGGTCTTAGTTAATTAGGATTAATTACTTTAGTTTTAATCAAATAGTAATCTTTTTTTGTATTAATCAGATTGTTTTTTGGGTGTTTTTGTTTCATTTTCGTTGGGCTTCAGTACCCAATTCGCAGCCCAATTCAAAGTTTTGTCTAGAAAAGTTCAGAATAAGTCCAGCATTCTCCAGCATCTTCTGGAAGCTTCCAGAAATAAAAGCACTATAAAAGTTCAGAAGCCACGTGTTGCACAGAGGCTGGCCCCACGTTATTCCACCAGCTCACGCCACCTCAAACTCGTTTCATCTCACTGCCACGCGCCACACACGTGGAGGCCATGCAGGGCACCCCTCCACTACCTTCCCCACGTGTCATCACCACGCCACCTCGCCTGAAAGCGTCACCGGCCGGCATGCATGGCCGGCGACCGCCGTGAGCCTCACCGGAGAACCTCACCAACACCTCACCAAACCCAGAAAAAACCCAGAAACTACCAGATTCAACCTTCAACATTCATCTTCCTCCTCCAATCTCCGATCAACACTCAACCAGATTTCCTCCAACGTTCTTCCATCTCCTTCAACCTTCATCCCATTCCCAGAAGAACACCTCCGACCAAACCCTCATCTCCTCTCATCTTCATCATCTGAAGCCTCACCAGAAACCACCGTGTATCAATTCTCAACCACGATTAACTCAAGAACACAACTGTTCATCAGCAAACGTTCCAGATCCTCATCAGTATCGTCTCAGAAATTCATCAGTGTTCAAACTCCATGGATCTTCATCTCCTTCGCAAGGATCCTCATCACTTTCTTCGTACGATTTCCAGAAAGTCCTTCAAAGAAATCCATGAACAGAGCCTTGTCAAGTATAGTTTTCTGGACCCGATGTTAATCATCGATCTTCAAGATCTGCGAAGATCCTCGAAGATCTTCATTTGTAGCGTCTTTTCCAGAAAGTCCTCCAAGAACAGATAACAAGAAAACTTCAAAAGCTCATCGACGAAGACGGCTTCAAGAACGTCCAGAACGTAAATCTCTGTCGATCTTCGTGAGTTTTCTTCAAACATCATCACCGCTTGAATTTCGTCAAGGATGGGGATTATAAGTTCTTCAAGAATTTCCTCTGATAGTGTTACATCGTGAATCAGCTTGCGTCAATAGTGTGGTCAGGGTTACTCCATTGTTGATTACTGGAATCTGAACATTTTTTTGGTTGAAATGAGAACGGTGAAGACTGTTGGAACGGAAAGTTGAGGTGATGAAGAACAATGTCTGAGATGGTGAGAGAAAGAAGGCTGAACGGAGGGAGAGTGAACAGTGTAGAGGACGGCGCTGAGAGAAGGGGGAAGAAGAAGCTCCCCTAGGGTTTCAGAATGGGGGAATGAGAGGGAGGTGATCCGCGTGAGGATTGGGCCAGGCCCAACTGCGTGTTTTTGATCCAAAACCTCCGATTTTTTGCAAACACCCCTCTGTGTGTTTTTTTTTAGGGGAACCTGGGCTGGGCCCAATTCATTTGTTTTTTATTTATTTTTTGTTACTCCCCTGTAATCCAGTGTAACCCCCCCTGTTTTTCTTTTCTTTATGTTTTCATTTTGTTTTTTTTTTGAAAGAAAAATGTAAAGAAAATATTATTGTGAGAAAAAGAGAAAAGAAGAAAAAGGAAAATATTTTAGAAAAAAGCATATTGAAAAAAAGGAAAGAAGAAGAAAGAGGAGAAAAAAATAGTAAAAGAAAAAGAGAAAAAAGGGTATTTGGAAAAAATAGAAAAACATAGAAAAATATGGAAAAATATTTTGAAAGAAAAAAGAAGAAAATAGTTGAAAAATAGCAAAAAATATTAGATGTAATATTTTTTTAGGATTTATTTTCTTTTTAGAAATAGTTTAGAAGCCCACTTGTTAGGGGGCTATTTTTCATTCGATTTTTTAGGATAGGATAGGATAGTATTTCCTAGGAGATTTATTTTTCAGTATTCAATCGTTGTAATCATTTTCAGAATATCAATAAAACGAGATTTGAGCTGTGGTCCCGTAGTAGCTGAACTACAGCTGCTCTGATTTCTCGTACCAGACGAGAATATGTAGGCATAGGATGCGATATCCTAGCGAGCACACTAACGACTAATTTCTATTTTCTCTCGCTGCTGTGCGATTGAGAACTTCCTGCTAACGACTAATGTTTGTTACCCTTTTTCTCTCTTGACCGAGCGCATTTGAGATCAAAGCCATAGTTTTGCCCATAGGTTCCCGACCCTGTGAAACCAGTTGTTTTTCTCACTGCTGTGTGAGAATGTTTGTTTAGCCGTAGTTAGTCTGAACTACGTAAAGCTCTGATCTTCCATGCAGTGTGGAAGTACGTAGGCACAAGACGCGAGGTCTTGGCGAGCCAATTTTCCCTGTAGTCCCGAACTACGTTGACTCTGACTTTCTCTCTTGAGAATACGTAGGCATAGAGTGCGACGCTCTATCGAGTCAATTCCCTTCCGTTTAGATTTAGCAGCCGTAGATAGATTGTTTTGCATCCTTTAGACAACCCAAGCAAGCGTGGATCCCGTCGAGTACGACGGACGTGAGGGGTGCTAATACCTTCCCCTTGCGTAACCGACTCCCGAACCCAGGTTTTGGTTGCGATGACCATACCTTTCCCCGTTTTTTGCGAGGTTTACTTCGAGCGTTTCCTTTCCCGTTCTGAGGGATAAATAACGCACGGTGGCGACACTTCTGTCAGCCGGCGCCGATTTTCGCAGTAGCGACAGTGTATCTCTTGTACCCCGTTTCTAATACAATTATATTCATATCTGTTCAAAAAACTTAACTAAGAAATACATTACTTCTTTATAAATTTATAAGTAACAAGCATATAGGAATTGGAATTAAAGAATACCATAGCAAATACAGCATCCATTATTTCTTTATTCATCTCTTCGTATACCTGAAACAATTAAAATGAAGTAAACCCATGGTTAAAAATGGGGAATAAAAAATAAATTGTAATAGAAAATCATCGCTGCAGCTTTTCTTAGAATCTCATTACCAACCATGTGGTAAAAGGATAAGAAGCTTGTTTCTTCAAGAGAAGGAAGTTTTAATCTTGGAATATCACATTTTTCAAGTGGGCAGAAAAATTTTGAGAGGCGCCTGGTCATAGCTATGTAATTTGACCATCTTCTGAGCAGTTCCCTCAACAAAAGTTCATCTTTTGTTTCTCGCATAGATGGAAGAACCTATTAATAAGAAAATTGTACTAATTTACATGTTAGTAAGCAAACAACTAAGGTTCAGTATTAGAAATTAGACTTAAAGTGGAATTAAGATATTCTTCGAAGACATCATATAATAATATTGGACAGGTAGTAGCTTTGCATTTTCTTTGTTGTACACAATTCATAAACAAGTTTAGATACCCACTTTAAAATCATATAAAATTGTACGGGAAAGTGAAATTGTCTAGACTCGCAATGTAAGTTACCTATGTAGCACTAATACTTTATATTTAAGGCGTGTCTATTGTCAGACACCAGATAGGACACTTACACATGTGCTTGCGTTTAATAAAATTTATTTACTCAAACTTTTACCGTTATAGCAGTTTACAAGTTTACAAAGCTTATGAAGTTATAGAGGACGAAAATAAAGGCTGACATTGAATTACATATAAGCTTAGTAATTATCTGCCCAAAATTTCATGTATGGTTCATGAATATGATATGATAACCAAATGAAGGGGTTACTCACTTTTGATATGATGTATTCTTCGCACGTTTTCTTGTACATGTCATATAGTTTTCGGGCATAGTCCTGAGGTGCCTTTTGGTGGCACATATTGTAGACAGTTCTGCATTACAATTTAAGTGGAAAACTAAAATAGATTAATATTTAGTGTATGCTTATTTTAGCATTTGAAAGAGCCAAAAGCAAGTCTAGAGATGTAGAATTGAATGATTCTGAGGCGTTTGGTTTTTCTAAAGAAGAATTGATTCTACTTAAAGGTAGAATTTATAACTTTTGAATTTAAACGTGATTTTTACGTTGAAGTGTACTCTTAAACTCAATTTTGCATAAAGTTATCCAAATATAAATCAAGATAAATTCAACTCACCTTTAACCAGATCAATTCTAAAGAATCAATTCACTCAAAATCAATTTTTTTCACTTGTGGTCAGAAAATGAATTAACAGCACCAACCCAAGAACAATGAATGCCAAAAACTAGTACAATCCACCAAGAACTCGCAATAATAAAAACCTAATAATCACTTAAAAGTAATGAAAATTAACATCCAAAATCCTAATTCAAGACACACTACCAATGACTGAAAAGGAAAACAACAAAAACAAAATGTGATTGTTATTCAAAGGGATTTATACGTACGTATATAGCATGATGTGGTGCTCAGGAGTGAAATTAGGTTCAGGAAAACCTTCAAGAATGTTGAGGAGCTTGGTGATACCCTTGTGCAAATAATCGCATCCTTCTTCTAAGCTGATAAACTTTGGTCTACTCATTGACGTGTTCATAAAGTTATGATAAACCTTTGGAAGGTTGAACCAGAGTGGAAAACTGTGTGGAACCGGAGAGAGTAGAAAACCCTAACTATGAACGGTTTTAAAAGGGTAAAGGTAAAAACCTAAAGTACTTGATTTGGTTCTCTCTGTTTCCAAAGGGTAAAGGTGAAAACCTAAAGTACTTGATTTGGTTCTCTCTGTTTTCAATAATTTTTGTTTCAATTGCAGCCTTTCCAAAATTTTAGGCTTCAATTTTACAGTATTTATTTATAAATATGAATTCCATTTTTGAATAAAGTACAAAAGCAAAAACAAACACGAATTCAAAGTGAAATTTCTAGTTTTTTTAGAGACAAAATCTAGAATGATAGAAAATGAAGGACCAACTTTTTGTTTATCTAAACAGTCCAATAAAATTACTAATTTATTATTGGCAAAGCAATTTATTTCATTCGCTTTGAATGGTGATTACATCGGCTAATGTACATGATTATAAACTCTAACAAATTCCTAATTATTGAGTACATGCTAATTGGGGAAAACTTACATTCTAATCAACTAACTAACATGTTATAATAGGAAAGCTTAACCAACAAGTTAGTTATTAGCATAACTAATTTGTAATTAATTCTTCTTCTCTTACCTTAAGTGGTATCCCCCCACAAGATGGAGGATAGATGTCCATCATCTCCAATGTGAATAATAGCAAGTGAAACGGTTGTGGTACGAGAGGTTTAGTGAAAAAATTAGTGATTTGATCCTTGGAGGAAACATGCATGAGTTTGAATATCCTAGCTTGTAGGTTTTCTCGAACGAGATGGCAATTAATTTTTAAGTGTTTTGTGCGATCATGGAACAAGTGATTGGCAGCAATGTGAATTGCACTAAGATTGTCACAGTATAAAACTTGAAGGCTGGATGAATTGGTTTTGAGATCTTTAAGTAAATACACGATCCATTGAAGCTCACAAGTTGTTGCAGCCAACACACGATATTCAGCTTCTGAAGAAGACCTAAAAACTGTGAGTTGTTTCTTTATGCGGTAAGAGATGAGAGAGTTGCTTAAGAAGAATCATTGACCTAGTATTGATCTTCTATTCTCCACACAACATGCCCAATCAACATCAAAGAAACCAACGAGGTGGAGTGAGGAATCTCTTAGAAATAGTAAACTTTGAGCAGGATAATGTTTAAGGTATCGAAGAACTCTGCATTAAAATGTATAGTGGTTGACTTGTTAAGGAAATGAGTAAGTTGTTGAGTGATGAAGCTAATGGTTGGCCTGATTGTTGTTAAGTAAAGAGCAACTTACCAATCAATCTTGTATAGGAAGGTATATAATGATATGCATGACTATCATCATGGAATAACTCTATTTAAGAGTCTGCAAATGTAGAAATCGGTTTGGAGCCAAGCATTCCTAACATTTCTTATTTTCACCATTTTGGTTATATTTGCTTTGTGTTGAACACTAAAGAGAATCTTGGCAAGTTTGATTTCAAAGCTCAAAAGTATTTGTTGTTAGGATATTCTGAACGCTCTAAAGGCTACATAATCTATAACACAGAAACACGGATTGTTGAGGAATCAATTCATGTTAGATTTGATGATAACCTTGACCTTGAAAAGTCAAAGCTATTTGAAAAGTTTATAGATTTGAAGATTACTTTATCAGAATCCAAGGAGGAAGATTCTAACGAAGGAGACAAAGCTGCAGAAATTACAAAATCATATACAATTTCACCAGAAACAGCAAATAGTCCATATCATCAAAAGAATAATAGAATAAGGACTTCTCATTCTAAAGAATTGATTTTGGGAGACAAAGTTGATCCAATCAGAACTCGTTCATTATTCAAACCTTCTGAAGAAACTCTTTTGGGTTTGGTGTCGTTGATAGAGCCAACATCAATTGATGAAGCTCTTCTAAAGAATGAGTGGATTCTAGCCATGTAAGACTGAGTTAATTCACCATAAACGATGTTTGGGATCTTGTTCAGAAACCAAAAGGTGTCCACGTCATTGGAACAAAATGGGTATTCAAAAACAAGCTTGATGAGAAAGGTGAAATCGTCAGAACAAAGCTCGGATGGTTGCACAAGGTTATAGTTAGCAAAAGGGGTTAGACTATACTGAAACCTTTGCACCAGTTGCCAGGTTAGAGTCTATTCACTTATTAGTTTCTTTTGTTGTTAATCATAACATCACTCTTTATCAATTGGATGTTAAAAGTGCATTCTTAAATGGGTATATTTCTAAAAAAGTGTATGTCCATTAACCCCCTGGCTTTGAAAATTCTGAGAAATCAAATTATGTTTTTAAACTAAACAAATCATTATACGGTCTGAAGCACGCTCCCAGAGCTTGGCATGACAGACTTAGTAATTTCCTTTTGGAAAATGATTTTACCAGAGGAAAGGTAGATACTACAATCTTTTTCAAAACTTTTAAGAATGATATTCTGGTTGTGCAAATCTATGTAGATGATATTATTTTTGGTTCTGATAATCCTTCCTTGTGCAAGGAATTTTCTAAGTCAATACATGCAGAATTTAAAATGAGTCTGATGGGAGAACTCAAATTCTTTCTGGGAATTCAGATTGATCAATATTCAGGAGGAACATACATTCATCAGAGCAAATATGCACAAGAACTTCTGAACAAGTTTGAAATGTCAGATAGTAAACCTGCAAAGACTCTTATGCCTCCTACATGCATTCTGGAGAAAGAAGAAGTAAGTAAAAAGGATTGCCATAAGATCTATCATGGTATGATAGGCTCTCTTCTATATTTGACTACTTCTCGTTTAGATAATTTGTTTAGCGTATGTCTTTGTGCTCGTTTCCAACCAGATCCAAGGGAAACTCACTTAACAGCTATTAAGAGAACCCTAAGGTATCTAAAGGGAACAATTAACCTTAGCTTGATGTATAAGAAAACATCAGAATACAAACTTTCTGGTTATTGTGATGTAGATTATGCTGGAGATAGATTAGAAAGGAAAAGCACCTATGGAAACTGTCAGTTTCCGGGTAGTAACCTCGTCACTTGGGTAAGAAAAAGGCAATCAACCATTGCATTATCAATTGCAGAAGAAGAATACATCTCAGCGTCACTGTGCAGCACTCAGATGCTCTGGATGAAGAATCAATTAGAAGATTTTCAGATTCACGAGGGTAACATTCATATCTTCTGTGATAACACAACTGCTATTTGCTTAAGTAGGAATCCCATTTTCCACTCTCGAGCTAAACACATTGAAATTAACATCATTTCATCAAATACTATGTTCAAAAAGGGATTTTAACTTTAAAATTTATAGATACAGACCATCTGTGGGCTGATATCTTTATAAAACCCTTATCTGAAGATAGATTTCAAATCATTCTGAAGAACTTAAATATGGATCTTTGTCCAGAATAAGTTTTATCAGAACGTGTTTAAACTCTTTCTGTAAAAAGTGATTCTGATGATAAGCAAATATTTCTTATTCGATTATTTGTCTTTCTGATTAACGATACTTCTACATGTTAGAAGATGTCTTGATAAAAAACATGTTTAGTCAGATACCTCTTGGTATTCTTGACTTAGGGAACATCAAACATGTTCTCTTAAACAGATGGATATGATTTTTCTGTGACACCTGTTCAATATCAAATCATAACTTACTGTTGAAGGGACACCTTGAGCGTTGTGATGTCGTGAGACTAGGTTTTTAAAATGATTATTCTCTATTACTCCCTATTTTTTTGTAATCATCGGAAAAAAATTCTTTAAATACCCATTATCTCACTATCACACACTACTCTACTTTTCACTTCCCATACCTTTCTTTAGAAATCCAAAAACCCTTTGTGCACTGTGACTCCATCATCTTCTTCAATGGATCCTCATTAATAAAGCGTCTACAACTTCTCTCAACAATCACAACTTGTTGAATCGTCTTTAATGGTTTCAACAAAAACTGCTCAAACTGCTTCAACATCGATACATCAATCTCTATCTTTAGAAACCTATTGAAGTTCACTTTGTGGATCGTCCACCACACATTCATCTTGCTACTACTTTTTTAGAATTGGAAGTTTTGTGTGAATGGTTAGTTGATTTTGATAACTTGCTTGAAAATGGAATTGACTTGTTTAAGGAACTAAATGCTCAAGGTTGGAGAACCTACTTTGATCGTCTCTATGGTACTTTCATAATCTTATCAAGGAATTATGAAGATTCACTGATGCTGATGAACACTTCATCATGTCACATGTTTTGGGAAACAAGTTCATCATCACTAAGAAATCCATAGCCACTTTGCTTGCAATGGAGAAGTCTGGTGGAAAGCGTATTTACAAGATGAGTTCTGAATAAATTTTTTTATCTGAAGTGATCATCCCAATAATCTTCACTCAATCAACTGATGATAAACTTCCCTTCCAGAGTCAGGATTTATCTAAGGAACTTAGATTCTGGCTCAAAATCATTATGGGTTGCATTTACCATAGACCTGCTTCCAGTTCATCTGACTTATAAATACTAATCAGAAATATATGTTGTATTATCTAATGAAGGTGAAAAGATATGTCTTCATTCTGTTCTGTTCAGATATCTCAGAAATTCTATAAGGGAAATCAGAAATGATTCAAAGAAGCCTAGAAACTACATTCCTCTTGAAAGACTAACCTCTGATATTCTGATTAAAAGTGGAATGGTTGATCATCTGGATAACTTTAATTTCAAAGAAGAGTTGAAAAATATAAATGGAACACCTCTGAATGGAAAAAATCTAAAGAGGATGTAGATTATCAATGAAATTAGAGTAGAACCAAGCATGCTACAGATTGGGAGAGTTTGAAGTCCAGAAGAATGACTATAAGTGGATTTCCTCTTTTCACCAAGCTTGACAATCCAGAGGCTATAGAGGAATACATAAAGATGTGAGAAACTGAAGGTTATGATCTATCTGGATTTAGGATTGAAGATCTACCAGAAAATCCCCCTGATCTGATGAAGAAGAAAAG